AAATAAGCTGACATTCAAAGCAGTATTTAGGACTACAGAGTAACACTAGAAACACACATTTGTAATGTACAATATTTGTTTTATTCAGGGTTCTACTTTAATAGAGAATGTTTCATTTCCCATTAGCCTTGGGGTCAGTGGTATGGAAAACAATCTGAGAGTATTTTATACTATCTAGCATGGTTGGTCCTTATTTTAGAATAGTTCCTTTTTCCCTGGTTTTTTTCTTTATGAAATATTTTTAAATATTTCTGAAAACCTAGGCATTCTCTAAAGTCTATTGATACCATTCTCTTATATACAGTGATGCTTAAAAGTTGCTTAATCCTTTTGAATTTTCAATATTTCTACATAAATATGACATAAAACCATTCTCTAAAGTCTATTGATACCATTCTCTTATATACAGTGATGCTTAAAAGTTGCTTAATCCTTTTGAATTTTCACATTCTCTAAAGTCTATTGATACCATTCTCTTATATACAGTGATGCTTAAAAGTTGCTTAATCCTTTTGAATTTTCAATATTTCTACATAAATATGACATAAAACACGAACTGTTCTCTACCCAAGCCTTAAAACTAGATAAAGAGAACCCAATTAAACAAATGAGTCAAAAACTTTTTCATTTATTTATCGAGGGAAGGATCCAAAGCTACATAATTCACAAACTTTTAAGCACCACTGTGAGAATGTATAATAAAATGAAAATGTTTTAAATTGTTTTGTAAATAAAGTTTTTTTGTAAATAAATACTTTTTATGAATAAATTGTAAATATATGTAATAGTGACATGTTAAAATATTTACATATTTATTAGTTAAAGTATAGAAACTAGAAAGTATAGTAGTATGTCACATACATCACTTGTTGTGCCTTCAAGTGATTTTGGACTCCTGACCACTGCGGTCTGAGCTTTTCTTAGCAGCAATTTTCAGAAGTGACTGGGCAGTTTGAGTTCTTCCTAGAGAAAGAAGTCACCGGCCCAAGGTCACCTAGCTGGCTTTCTGTCCAAGGCAGGGCTAGAATTCAAAGTCTCCTGGTTTCTGGTCGGACACTTTAACCATTACAGCAAACTGGCTTCACACATACATGCTTACAGATTATAATATAAACTCACTAGTCACTGATAACTGCAATCAATATTTTGTAAGCATTTAAATTTTTCTTTTTTTTTTTTAGAATTTGAGGTTGTAATGAAAGAAAAACTTAAAAGAAAAAAAGCATCACACAAAAAGCAATTAGATTTTCTATCCTCTTTAATTTTTTCCCCATTCTTTCCTTTTTCTCTGGATGTATTCTGAACTTATTTAAATTTCAATTATTTATTATTATTAAAATTGATAAATTTAAATAATCTATCAATTATTTAAAATTTTATTATTTTAAAATTGAAATTTTTATAAAGTTAACAATGATCATGGACCTTGTGCAGTCTCAAACTCAATATTAATTAAATCTTTTTTGGAGGAAGAAGAGAAATGAATTAAATCTGTTCTGGAGAGAGGAGAGAAATTAAACCTCCCTTGGAGGGAGAAGAGAAATGAAGGCAAACTGTTCTGGAGCGAGGAGGGAAATTCAACCTTTTTGAAGGGAAGAGAGAAATTAATTCAACCTGTTTTGGAGAGAGGTGCTCCTTTGTGCACTGGAGGCATTGGGGTCTGGAGCAGGTCAGCTACCAGTGCAAGGTTGGCTGGCTGCCTGCTGAAAAGGGAAAAGCACAAGCTCATTGCCTCAGCTTAATTGCAGCAGCAAGGTTGCTTGGCATTGCTGCAGCTCAGACTGAGAGGGAACTCCTGCTGCATGGTCCTCCTGCTCCACCTGCGCTGGGGCAGCACCTAGCAATCTTTGCTGCTGCAATTAAGCTCAGGAAGTGAGCTTGTGCAGGACTTCTCATGAGTCACAAGCCTTGAGTTTTGACAACTGGTGACTAAATTTATTATTATTTAGTTTTAGAATGTAATATTGTTTTGTTGTATTTTTATTTTATTTTATTTAACTTTACTCAATTACATTTTCATCTGGTTTGGGCCCCATTCGGGAGTGTTGTGGGCCACATATGGCTTACAGGCCAGGTGTCTGACACCTCTGGCTACAGCAGTGTCTTTGCACAATATTTGGTGCTCAGTTTGTTTACCTGTAAAACACCAGCCTGAAATGCCAACAATTTTACTGGCACAATTGAATCTTATACTTTATTTATAAGTTAGCCAGCTGTTGCTTATTATCTAAATCATTTTTAGAGTTTTTTTTCTAAAAGCATATTTATATATTGGCTTTGCAGAATTTTACATAAAAGAACACTTTGATTTTATAAAGCTTGCTTTAAAGTTTAGTATACAGTATGGTTGACAAAATGTGTGAGGGAAGGGGATGACTGAGAATGAAAGTAGCCTCGAGAGTTTTCAACAATATAGAAAGTTTGTGCTGGGGTGATTATAGACTTTTCAGCAATGCAGATGTTTTATGTTGTTTCAAACAATAAAAGTTATCCATACTTCCTGTAAAGTTTAAAAAAACCTCTATTTCTCAATCCCTGCTTTTTTTGGCATTCTGATAAAAATGGCCTTCTTAAGTAGAAAGAGACCACTCATAGATTTTGGGAACTTGAATGGGGACAGCAAGGAATGGCAGCACATTGTTGACACAGAGATGTAGTGCAGTAGAAGAGTGGAGAAAGATAATGCAGAAAGAGATTCTGTGATGGTGGTGGTTCAGAAAAGCAGGCAGAGAAAGAGAACTCTCACAAAGAAAAAACAAAGATGCCCTAAGAATCCTGAAAATGTTGAGATAAATTAAATTTTAAATAGTAACTTGAATTCTTTTTCAAAAATATCAATGAGTCTGTCACTGCAGAAAGGTGGTTGTATCTAAAAATTTTTTCCAAATGCTGGTATATATTTGTGTCCTATTTGTGCCTCAGTCCCCCACCCACTAATACTGATTATTGATCCAAAGGTGTGAGTAGGCCAAGGTCAATAATTTATTTTGTTGCCTGCAGCTGTATTGGTTGGCACCAATAGCAATAGTATAATAGTATAATAGTAAAACAACAATAGCAGCAGCAGCAAATGGTTATTTCAGACATGGAGATAACGTATATGAAGATACAATTTATATGTTAATTGGTATTATTTATTAGGCTTGCAAATGGTTCATTGTGATGAGAGTTCTTTCCAATGAAATATTTATTTTGGTGTGATGTAATTGTGTGATATTGATACTGTAACAGCTGTAGTGATTATTCCTAATGTCATTGATACATTTGCTATCAGAGCTGAAAAAGGCATTTTTTTATATTGTTCTGCATATTCAAAACAAACAAGCAAACAAACAAAGCTATGGCTGTGGATAATGGATAATGTACCAATTTTTATCAGTCATGCCACTGAATACAAATCATTTATGTCTTTCCATATTATAGATTTCTCTACAGTTGGATATTTTTCATGGGCTTTTTAATCATTTTTTTAAAGATTGTGCCTTTCCAAAGAACCTTTTTACTGAAGATGAGATGAAATATTTTTCTGTTAGGAAATACAATAGAAGGAAATAAAAGGAAATTACTATCTCTATTGTATGAAGTACAAATTACTGCAGTAAGTATAATTAATACCTAGGAAGAAGAGTTCTAATTTACCATGATTGTAAAACTGCAGGGGGAAATCAATCTGTATGGATGATAGATTATATGAGAACACTGGAATAAAGGGACCAAATAGTTCCAAAGAACAGCTCACATAAATAATGCAGAGACATCTGTTAGACTAATGTCTGACCTTCAGCTTCGAGGAAACCTGTAGACTAGTATAGCTGACTTAAAGTAACAGATGCCACTTAAAGCAGAGGGAATTGCTGAACAGTTTGAATGAATAAATGTTTCCTAAGTGCCAGAAAGGAGAGAGATTCCACATATAAGTAAAGAATTTGTAAAGAATCTATTCTGTTGTCTAACATTGTTATGTAATTTGCAGTAGTCAGAGAGTGCAACATAGATATTGGAACAATTAGACTATATATTTTAAAGGCCATCTGATATACTTTTTATTCATAGTCATATATTTAAAAATTGTAATGTAAAATATTTAAAAGATATATAGGCTGCAGAATTGCCAACCTTGTAGTCTCAGATAATCTATTTTATATATTATTATATTAGTAAATTTTTCAAGATTGCTGAAGTTCTTAAACAGGCTTCTATCTTGCAATATTTGGTTCTTTTCTGGTATAGGGATTCATTTTACTGGGTCAACCATGTAAATTTGGGAATAGTTTCAAAATAAAAGATGAAAAAGTCATTCAAAACTGTAAGTTTATTCTTGCTGCTCTTATTTTACCCAACAATTAACGCCAGCTGGGTGACTTTGGGCCAGTCACTCTTTCTCAGCCCAACTCACCTCACAAGGTTGTTGTTGTGGGGAAAATAGAAGGAGGAAGGAGTGTTAGGTATTTTTGCCTCCTTGACTTATTTATAAAAATAATAAGAGTAGGATTAAAAAAAAATCTTTATATATATATGTATAAATTATTCAAGTATTTACTTAATACTTGAGTATATATAAAGTATT